GATAATTTCTAACTGTGTATTTTGGTCACTTGTTTGAGTCACTATGTCTTGTTTCTTCATGTAAGCTGAAATTGTCTGTTGTCTCTGAAACACTGGTATTGTGTTCTTATTTAATTGATGATTTCATGCTAGTGTGTTCTTAGGCATTCACCACTTGTCTTCTGGTGGATCTGATTGAGAATAGAAAATTATATGATATTCTCTGTTTGCTGTTTGTGTAACATAGCTCCGGTCAGTTTTGGCTGATGTTCACTGCTAATTATCATTGAACAGGTAGTATAGGAGTGGGTAGTGGTGTTTGCCCAGTGGGTTGAGCTATAGGAGGCTCCAATGTGGCTAGGACTTATGGACACGATTACTGTCTCCCCAAAGCAGACAACAGCCATAAAAGATCTATTGAGGCAACATTCACAAATATTGGGTATGGAGGGTGATGATATGCCCAGTACCCAACACCAGGTAGAGCAGAAGTAGCACAGGAGAAAGTTCCTCTGTCTGCGAGCAGTGAGGGAAGGAGCTGGCCATAGGAGGCCACAAGGAGCAAGAAAGAACCATATAGCCTTTGTCACCAGCCTCTATCAATGTCCTGTGCTTCTAGGTCACCGTGTCCAGGTCACTTTGCCTGCAAAAGTTCAGGATGGTTGCACTAGGCTGTCTCTCTCCCCTTTTGCTGCTTCTACTCAGCTTTCTCGTCCAGTTGGCACTCACTCCACCTCAATGAAGTTCCGGGTTCCAGAATCCTTATCTGTTTATTTAGTCGCCTGTGTCCTTGTTGCAGAAGGTCTGTCTATTTCTCCTTCTTGCCCCCACAGCTCCTTTCTATATTCTTTTTTACATCATCTTTTTCTTGAAGACTCTAAGCTAAGCACACAGACCTTTACTTTTACAAACAGCCTTGTAAGAATGTATGAACATTTTAAAATCTAAAAGTCCATGAAAATTAGTTACAGTGAAATGGAGAAAAATGAGAAAAGTAAACTAGGTAGAAGAGAAAGGAAGGTGATGCAGTGCAGAAGTATGCATTTGTTGTTTGAAAAAGGTAATTTGCACTATAGCTGGTAATGAGGAAATATCCTACTATTGAAATTTCCACCTATCTAAACTGGAACAAATTAGTTTCTTCATTAAATGTGCTTCACCTATCCTCTCTATCCTAGTAAATTATGACATCATCATCCATCTCCTTCTCCACATTTCCCTCACTCAGCATATCCAATCAGTCATTAAAGCTTCAGAATAAAGAGCATGAGGTTTCTCACTCTACCATATGGTGCCTTTGGTCAAGTTACATGATTTGTAGCTATCAATTTCATTATTGATAAAACATGTATAAAAATAGGAAGGATTTTATATTATTAAAAACATGTGAAAATTAGAAGTAACACGGAAACCTGTCAAAGAAGGAAAAGTAACATATTTTCCATTAATAGAGAGTGATAGAAGAGGGGTGAAACTGCACCCTGTCAAAAGCAGAAAATTTATGAGATTTGGAAAAACAAGGTTTTGAAGACAATATTGTAAAAGTTATTATTGAAAGATAAAAGGCACTCAAAATATTTTGTTCTTATTATTTACTTATGCAAATATGAACAAAAAGGGTGCGGAGTCAGGCAGGATGAGTGGACCAACTTACTAATCACTGTCTTTAGAACACACATGTCTTTCAAGTAAACCACTGGGCTAATCAATTGATTTCTATCTATTGACATATGCTATATTTAGATATCTATCCACAAATAAACACACATTCTAATGTCTACTCCTTTTGTTTAGTGTTATGTTAAGTGCCATCAAATCGGAATAGGGTTTCCCAGGCTGTAATATTTACAGAAGCAGAAAGACTCATCTTTCTGCCAGGGAGCACCAGCTGGGCTCAAACAGCCAATCCTGTGGTTAGCAGTCCAGTGTTTTATCCTCCAGAGCTGCAACGCTCCCTCTATTCTTTATAGAGTTATTATAAATACTTTAGAGAACAAGGTCTGCACTCAAACACAGCTGTATTAAATTAAATATTGGGTTTACAGTTTTCTAGCTTTTATGGACTCTGGTGTGGTGCTGTAGGATAAGCATAAGGTCAGTGGTTCAAATCTACCAGCTGCTCCTCAGAAACCCTTTCCAAGAGCACTATGAGTTGGGACTTGATGGCACTCAACAACATCTTATATAGAGGAGTCCTGATGCAGTGCTGTAGGATAATCACTGGACTGCTAACCACAAGGCTGGCAGTTAAAACCTACCAGCCGCTCCTTGGAAAACATATACAGGGTTGCTATGAGTTGGTTCCAACTCGACAGCACTTAATGACAACAACAACCATCTTACATGGAAGGCAACATGGGGGGTTATGTACTGGACTGTTAACTACAAGGTAAGCAGATTGAATTCACCAGCTACTCCACTGGAAACAGATAGGATTTCTGCTCCCATAAATATTTACAGCCTCAGAAACTCTACACATGGTTGCTATGAGTTGAAACCAACTTTATAGCACACCACTACCACCACCACCACCACCACCATTTTGCATATATCACTTAAGCACGGTCTCAGTTTCATCATCTATAAAAGAGTTACTGTGAGCCTGAAGTAAAGTAATATATGCATAACACATTGCATAGTACTTAACATCAAATAAAAGCTCAAAAGTATTAGGGATTATCATTACATCATTGAATTTTTTCATAAAATATATGTATTTTAGTTTGTACTTTGTAACTGAACAAGGATTACAGCATACATTTTAAGTGATTTAAAAATGTTGCTTCATTAAGAAAGCTTCCTTTTACTTATTCTAGAGTTATAAGTTTTTATGCTATAATAATCCAAATCTGCATTACTGAGAAAGTAGTCAGGGTATGGAAGGCCAGAACAACAGGAATAGAGCTCAACTAAAATATTGGAAGGACAGAATCAAAGGCAATATCAAGGCAATGATGAACAGAAACAGAACAGCTCCCTGCAACCAAAGAGGAACTCAAGCTGGCTATAGCTACCCTTAGTTTCTGCCAATCAACCGTATCTCCTGATCTCTCAAATATTCTATCAACCATAAGCTTTCCAATCCCCAAAGGATAAAAATGATCACCATAAGACTGCCATACTATTGGCAGTCCATAGGACACATATAGTGAAAATGTATCATTTCACTAGGCCCCTTGAAGTGCCAAATGTTTTACAGTCTCTGACGACATTCCAAATAACAGCTTCCAAACACATTTTAACCAAACGCTATGTCAGTGAAGTAGACACATAGTCACACAGGATAGAATGCAGATTGAGTAAGTACACTGAATCTGTCTTCTAAGAAATTTCTTCTAATATTTCAAACCTTAGGAAAATCTTAGAATAGTTGTCAAAGTATATATATATATATATATTATTCATAAATACTCTTTCCTCTTCTTGATATCTTTCTTTTTAATTTTCTTATTTTTCCCCCCTTCCCTCAATTTTACGTACAACCTTTAAAGTTGAATTTACATTGAAGCTATCCAATAACAACTCCCACTCTGCAATGGGTCTGGAGTCAGGAAGGATGAGTGGACCAACTCATTAATCACTGTCTTCAGAACACAGATATCTTTCAAGTAAACCACTGTGGGGATCTAAGCACATATACATACACTCACATTATAGAGAACATTAAGCATATGAGGCATAGTTTGACCAAATTTATCTGAAATTCCTTTCCAACCCTTAAACACTATGATTCCCTGCCTTTTATAACCAAATTTTGTCATGGTTATGAGATTCACACACAGCATATGTCCTGTGCTGCCAAGAGAAGTTACTGAATCAGAGTGACTTTAGCTAGTTGGATGTGCTCAACGGAATGATAGCAATTGCTATAGTCAAGAGACAGACTGCAAGAAGTAAATAAAAGATCATCAGCTTGATTCCAACCTTTGGATATTCTACAAAATTAAGTGGTACTCTCAAGTATCCATTATAACACTGGTGTGGTGCTGTAGGATAAGCACTGGACTGTTATCCACAAAGTCAGCAGTTGAAATTCACTAGCTGTTCACTGGAAACCCTATACTGGGTTGCTATGAGTTGGAACTGATTTGACAGCACTTAGCAACAACATTATAATACTCGTGCAAGGATACAGGAAGTATATCACTTTACAAAAAGGAAAACAGAACCATGTCAAATCATTATACATAGAGAGCATTTGTTCCCAAATCTGGAATCTTTGGATTAACAGAGATTCTAATTCAAGAAAGAAACTTAATAGAGAATGAGAAAAAAAAAGATGGAAGAAAAGGAAGGGACAAGGAAAAAAGGATGAGAAAAGAAGAGGGGAGAAAGGGGGGAAAACATATACAGAGACAGGCTACCTGTTTACTTCCCTTCTCATGAATCTTGTTATTTTTCCTGCAATTGTAGTTCATTAGCAAAGAGGCACTTTTTAATTTTGTTGTTGTATTTAAATCACAGAACCAGTGACATGCCAAATGTAAATTACAGTATATTTTATTAGGCTTTCCATTTTCTTGTAAATTTGTCCTTGTAAGGTAAGAATTTTCAATTCTGATTAAATACCATTTATGGGTCTTCTTGTTTACTAGTTTTTTTTGTTTTTGTTTTTTAATACAAGGACACAGCCCATGGGATATGTTAAGAATCAGCCACTACTACTAAAATCCTCACAAGCCAATTCCACAGACTCTTATAGCAAAAAAAATTTTAATTCTGAAAAGAATCTTCAGACAACTATATTCATTTCTATCTATCTCATCCAGTAATGCTTATTTTTAAAGTGATTAATTACACTTGAAGTCACCATAAATAGTAATCGACTCAAAGGTAATCAAAAACAGCAACGGCAATTACAGTTTTAAAGTTTAAATTCACAATTACCCTTTTTACTTGTAGGTATTTCTAAATGACTTATAAATTGTGGCTGGGTTTTCTGCATTCTCAGTTCTTCCCTTGGAAATGCCAACTTGAACAAGAAGCTACAACTTGAAACTGACAGACATGAAGTCAAATACCTGCAGAGGTCCTTCTGGATGCTTTCCTCTCAGTACTGGAGCAGCTGGAGCTTCCTGGAGAGGTTTTGAGGTCTTCCTTTTGGCTTTTTCCATTTGAATATTGGTAAAATAGTTGACAGCAGCAAACTCAATAAGGGCCGAAAATACAAAAGCAAAGCAAACAGCTATAAACCAATCCATGGCAGTAGCATAGGACACTTTGGGCAAAGAATGCCTTGCACTGATGCTCAATGTGGTCATGGTGAGAACTGTGGTTATTCCTTCAAAGCAAAAGAGCAAAAAGAGAAAATATCTTACCATTATTTCTACACAAAAACCAAACAAAGAAATTCAAGGCTAAGAGGGGTTTGGAACAACAAAATTTGCAATGATTCAAATAAAATCATCTTTGATGGAAGGATTCAAGTCTTAGTGTTTCAGTGATATTAGCACATGTTTTAGAGTGAGAGATTGACATGGGTTCAAATCCTGCCACTTCTGATCACTATCTCTATGTGACTTGAATTAAGTTGGGAAAACTTACTGGGTAGGTAAATGTATCCATTTGATGCCTACCTATGGGATGTGCTACAAAGATTGAAGGCACCTGTCACACAGTGAGAAGTTACTAGTATTATAGCCAACACACCAGAGGAACTCATTGCATATGCATAATAGGAAAAGTGAGTAATTGAAGCAGTGATTCTAAACCAATGGGATTGCTAAAACATCAAAACTTCAGGGACTGGCATGGCCCTCTGCTATTGAGAATCACTGCCACAATAAATGCACAAATTACAGACCTTTATAATTCTTCAAAAGTATATTTTCTGTTGAACTAATTTTTATATATACTAGTTGTAAAGAAACCTGCTCGATACAAAACAATACATGTATAATCCTGGACAAACAGATTTCTAGAGCAATTTGGCTTTACATATACTTGACATCTACCACCCATAAGTTTATGGCTGGCAGGAGAAAAAGAACCAAGAACAGAGGTCCGTCTTTTCCAACAATAGGATTCTGGAGCATACCACCTGTAAAAAGCCTTCCTTCTCAGCCTGAAAGAAAGGTTTGTCTTCATTTTCAGTAGGAAAAATCCATTGCCACTGGAACTATGGTGGTGGTGGTTATGTGCTGCAGAGTCAGATCCGAATCATAATGACCCTGTACAAGGTTTCCGAGGCCGTTTTTGAATCTTTATGGGAGCAGAAAGCCTCTACACTACTGGAACTATAGAGAAAGGAGTTATTTCAGGTTGCTAGTTTTTGTTGTCCATCTCTGCATCTATGTCCACCTATCTAATTAGTATTATCTAATTAAGCCTGGAAATTCCTGTGGAGATTTAATACTTCCATTAAAACTTATTTTATATAATGACTGATGGGTGGTGGAATCCTGGTATGGTGCTGTGGGTTAATTCGCTAGACTATAAAATCAGTTTAAATAGCAAAGTCGGCAATTCAAACTCACCAGTTGCTTCTCAGAAATGAGAACTCATAGCAATGAGTTGGTACCGACTCAACGGCACTTAATAACAACCATATCGTGGTGGTGGTGGTGGTTACGTGCTGCAGAGTCGGTTCCGATTCATGAACTCTATAAAGGGTTTCTGAGGCTGTAAATCTTTATGGGAGCAGAAAGTCTCACATTTCTTCCACAGAATGGCTGGTAGTTTCAAACTGCTGACTTTAAGGTTAGCAGACAGATTTGTTGCCACAATGTTACTAAATGACTACTATAACTCCTGAAATTGTCACACCCTGGTGCTTGGGGATAAGGATGGTAATGATGATGATGATGATGATAATGATGATGATGGTGATGAAGACATCTAAACTGCAATTCCAATCCATGCCAATCCCCAGCTGAAAGGCAAATGAAATATTTTCAACTGAATGTATAATGAGTTACATGCAAAAACAAACCAATCATAATATTTTGATTTATGGAGAAATAACATTATGCTCTTAAACTCTGCATTTAATTATATTCTGCCTTTTACTATTCCTTAGTTATTTCACTTATACATTTATATGCCTTGTTTCTCCAGTTGATTGAACATAGCTTCCTTGGAGGTGGAAATGTTCTATACTTGTTTAAGATTTGCCTTTATAATTCACATAGCGCTGGGAATATAGTAAGCACACAATAAACAAACAAACAAAAAGCACCATAGCACCATTTTTTTTCATTCTTTACAAATTAATTTCCTCTGAATAATTCCCTTTGGAATAATCAGTGTTTTTGAACATTAAAATTTGAGCAATTGCATTTCTTGCAAAACAAAATGAGACATCATTTCACCCTAGTATTAATAGTTAAGTTTTAAAAAATAAGAAAACAAAAAATGCTGGTGAGAGTATGGAGAGATTTTACTCTCATATACTGTTAGTGGGATTGTAAAATGATGCAACCACTGTGGAAAATGGCATGGCACTTCCTCAAAAAGTTGGAAACACAAGTACCATACGACCCAGCAGTTCTTCTACTTTGTATATATTCTAGAGAAATAAGAGCTGCAAAAAAATAAATATATGCACATCCATGTTCACCATAGCATTAGTCACAATAGCAAAACAGGGAAACAACCTAAATACCCAATAATAGAAGAATAGGTAAACAAACTTTGGTACATACACACAATGGAATACTACACAATGATAAAGAATGATGAATTCTGAAACACCCCATAACATGGATGAACCTGGAGGATATTATGCTGAGTGAAACTAGTCAATCACAAAAGCACAAATACTGTATGAGAAGACTATTGTACAAAATCAAGAAAAGATTATCACACAAAAGCAAACATTCTTTGATGGTTACCAGGTATGGGAGAGTTGTTGCTGTTGTTAAGTTCTGCCAAGTCATTTCTGACCCATAGCGACCCTGTATAGGGTTTCCAAGGAGTAGCTAGTGAGCTTGAACCACCAACCCTGCAGTTCAAACGGCTTTGCAGTCTGGTGCATTGTGCCACAGTGCCATACAGAGGAAATTACTGGCTATAGTATTAAATTGGGGGAAAGGGAAGGCAATATATAATAAGAAAGAACAGCAAAAATTTTGGAGGCCAGTGAAGACACTGAGAGGAAAGTAAGAGTATAATGGCAACAGAAATAAATACTGCTATATGTACAATCTTTCAATAACTCTGATGTACAGACTCCTGGTGTGGTGCTATAGGATAAGCATTAGACTGCAAACCACAAGGGCTATGATTGAAACCCACCAGCTGCTCCTCAGAAATCCTGTACAGGGTCACTAGGAGTTGGAATAGACTCTACAGCATTTATCAACAACAACAACAACATGAGTACATGCACGGATAGATACACAGTCTGAATGGATGTGGAAGGGAGAGTGGGAGTACACGCACAAATCTATGCATATAGGTTTGACAGAAGACATTTGTACATTGACTGCAACTATATCCATAAATGCAGTAGAGCATACATGGGCAAAGTTTATTAAAACTTCTTAGACATAACCAAATACTTTGAGGGAATGACTTGCTGGGCCTTGGAATTAAGGCCATAGTCTCGAGAGACACAAAGATCAATTGACATTACATAGTTCATAAAGATAATGTTTATTACTTTCACGAGCTTATTAGTGGTTATCTAAATTGCAACTATTGAACTTTCCCTGTCTGGAGAAAAGAAGATGGATAAAAACTGAAGACGCATGGAAATGATTAATCCAATGGAATAATGGACCACATAAACATTAGTATCCACAACTCTGAAACTAGAGGAAATATGATGTTCTGCTACCACTACCAACTTTTCTGAAAGGTATCTGCTTCCAGTGCTGCATCAGTTTGTTGAAAGATTTCAGTTTGTATTCCATCAATTTCCAGAGCCTTGTTCTTTTCCAATGGCTTCAGTGCACCTTGGACTTCTTCCTGCAGTTCCACTGGCTCTTGATCATATGCTACCTCTTGCAATGGGACATCAACCATTTCTTTTTGGTACAGAGACTCTGTATAGTCCTTCCATTTCTTGGGTGCTTTCTGCATCATTCAGTATTTTCCCCATGTTGTTGTTAGGTACCATCAAGTCAATTCTGACCCATGGTCACTCTCTGTACAACAGAATAAAATACATAATTGCTGCTATGACCACTGTTGTTGTTAAGTGCTGTCAAGTTGTTCTAACTCATAACGACCCTTAAATGATTTCTGTGGAGTACCTGGGGAGTTCTAGGAAGGGCACTTGTCACACTCTGTGTAGTTAGTCTCTAAGCCAACATACAAGAGAAACTCATTGCATATGCCTAACATAAAAGGTAACTTATTGAAGCAGTGATTCTAAACCAATTCTATGGTGGGAGCATCAAAATTTCTGGGACTGGCATGGCCCTCTGCTATTACAAGGTGAGACTTGAATATTTTCTCCAGTTCTTTCAGCTTAAGAAATTCTGAGCATGATCTTCCTTTTGGTTTTCTAGCTTCTGGTCTTTCCACATTTCATTATAATATCTTACACTTTTTCTTCTCCAGCTGCCCTTTGAAATTTTCTGTTCAGCTCTCTTACTTCCTCATTTCTTTCATTTGCTTTAGCATCTCTACAGAGATGCAGAGGAAGTTTCAGAGTGTCTTATGGCATCCATTTTGGTTTTTCCTTCTTTCTTTCATCCCACAAGTCTTCTGGCCTTTGGCCATTAGTGTTTAATGAGTCAATCTTTTCTTGAGATGATCTCAAAATTCAGATGTTATGCTCATGATTTTTTAATTTGTTTGGATATTATGTACTTGTTTTACTTTTCTTCAGCTTCAGTGTGAACTTGCATGTGAGCAATTGATGGTCTGTTACACAGTCTGACCCTGGCTTTGTTTTGGCTGATGATATGGAACTTTTCTACCCTCTCTTCTCACAGATGCAGTCAATTGATTTCTGTGTAATCCATATAAAGAGGTCCATGTATATAGCAGTCTCTTATCTTGTTTTAAAAAGGTGGTTTCAGTAAAGTCATTGGTCTTGCAGAATTGTGATCTCCAGCATCGTTGCTATCACCACGATCATACTTTTCAACATTCCTTGCTATTTGTTTCCAACCTTTGAATTCCAATCACCAGTAATTAACAGTACATGTATATTGCATGTTGAATAAATTTCAGACTGAAGACATTGGTAGAATTCCTCAATTTCATCACCACTGACTTTAGTGGTTGCTGTGTAAATTTGAATAACAGCTGTATTAACTGGCCTTCTTTGTTGGCATAAGGATATTAGCTTATCACAGACAGCATTATACTTTAAAACTAACGTGTATA